AGGCAATAAGTGCCCTTTTTAGCCATCCATTATGATCCATATACTGTTATTGTTAGTAGGCTAATTGCAACATAAAAAATAACACTTCAAAAAAGACAAAAAAGTTGAAAAAATAAAAAAAAATCAAATAAATCAAAAAAATAATTGATTTTGATTTTTTTGATTTTTTTTTTAAATCAAAAAAATCGCCAACCCTGTGTTGTGTAGGATGTTTTGGCAGGATTGTCAAAGTATTGCAGATTGCAGAGGGTGAAAATTGTATGAAACTACATCATACATGTTTGTGGAGTGCAAACTGTGATTTTTTTCAATCAACAAAAATACATGACAATAGAGCCAGGGGATTTCATACCTACTGAAATTATGTGATATTAGAGCCGCAATATTTCAGAAAAAATAGGACTTTTTCAGCCCTGCCTTTAGAAAGCTCATGTTGTAGGCTATCTATTCTAACTAAAATAAAACATTTTGGTTGAGGCTTTGACTGCAGGTGGATGGGGGAAATGGGTGCGAGTTGTGACTGATGGATATGAATGGTATAAATAAACATTATTAACCAAAAATCTGAGTTTAACAATAAATTCCAGTTTGACAAACAAATAGTATAAAAATGATGAATAAATTATAATTAAACGATGAATAAATTATTAATAAATGATGAATAAAATAAATGGTGAATAAATTACAAATTAAAAAATAAATGAATGAATGAATGATGCATGGATGATGAATGAATGATGCATATACCAGGGTGCATACCGGTCATGTTGAACCTGGAAAGTCATGGAATTTGATTTTTCATTTTCCAGGCCTGGAAAGTCATGGGATATTATTTCAGGTTATGGAAACTCGTAGAATTTGCAAATAAATGAAGAAAAAAAAGGAAATGTTTTTCTGTGCTGCATGGGTTAACCCATTGATGCCAAGCAGTTCCATTTGGAACCAGCAAAAAAAAAATTGAATCATAATAAAATTGTAAGATGAAATAAATATACAAGTGGATGTGCAGGTTAGATACACATCTTGTACATGTTCTGGCAAAGTTTGGTTCTGCTGCGCTGACTACTCTTTTTTCAGTCAACATTCAAAGATTACTAGAAGGAGGTCATGGAAAAGTCATGGAATTTTTTTCCTAAATACCAGTACGCACCCTGATATACTTGTACAGCAATCCCTTGATTAACGTGGTTAATAAATCCCCGAGTTTTACCGTGTTAAGCGATACCGCGCTAATCAAACTTAAGAATATATGGGAATAATTATAATAAATCCTCAAAAATAGCAAAGTTACAGAATAATTTTTTTTCCACTAAAATTCATCATATTTTTTTCTAAATAATAGGGGAAATAAATAAAAGAAATGCGAATGAATTAACATTTTTTACCGAAAAACGAATCCATTTTCAATTGCACAGTAGTATTAGATTTCTTTCTCTCCTTAGATTTAGATTTCTTCCCTTTTTGTCCATAATTATGACGGTAATTTATCAAGGAAAATTATGTAGTTTGATAAAAATGAGCAGTAGATATGGCAGCGATCTTAGTTTCAGACTCTACAGAGTCTTATATATGGTAATTTAACTTAATTTCCAGGCCGGTCTATGTTAACCCTGTCAGGGCTGCCATTAGGTGGTCAGAGTTCTCCCGTTTGGGGGAACTTGGACCACCTGGGGGGCAGGACCCCCCATTTGCAAACTATGACACTTTCCTTAAGTTTGTCATTTGCATATGTAACTAGAAGAGTTCTGCTACAATGCACCAAAACCTGGAGTTATTTTGAGTTATTTTACTAAAAAATATAATTGATTTTACCACCCGGTCTAAGTTACCCCTAGAGCTGGGGTAACAAAGACCATCGCTTTTTTTGAAATTACATAAAGACTATGAGAGGCAGGAGCCAGCAATTTATGGTGAGTGAAGCTAGAGTATAGACCTGTATTTTGCATGTATCAATTCAAGTTTAATTTAGCTAGTAAAAAAATGGCATCATTTATAAAAAAAAAGTGGTCTAAGTTACCCCATTTTACAGTATAATTTTTATATGGATCTCTCAACTTGTGAAGCATTCTTTTACACTGTAACTGTGTGTTATGAAAGGCTTCCAAAGTAATATAAAGATAATTAAATACATTCAATATATCAAAATAGAATGCCAAACTAAATAAAGTTAGTTTATTTACCCATTTGTTGATAACGAATACCAAACCAAATATTGTTATGTTATTTTATTTCTCCACATTTGAAACGAAATTCCAAACAAAACCTTTTCTTCTTCACCCTGATGAATTTCATCATTATAATTGATACACATCCTATTCATATGAACATTAATCTTGGTTTTCAAACCGTGAACCATTTTAAATAATTGCTTAGCATCCACTCGCACAATAATTCAGCAATGCCTGAACTTTGCTTATATCAATCAAGATATCAATTGTCCAACTTTCTGAAGCTGGTTCAAAGGAAGCGTAAACATTGTAAAAAAATAAATGAAGTGACAAGGAGGGACAGATAATCAGCAACAGAAAAAGAGGTTGCTTACAAGGGACATTGGCTGCCAGCACAAGAGCTACAGAGAAGGAAAATATCAAGAATTCTTTCCATGTAACTACTTATCCACACAACTGAGATCTGCAATCAGACACCACCAGCTAAGGAACAACGCCCTTAGGAATGTGAGATCCCGTAGCACTTCTTACAAGCCCAGACACGTTTGAAGACCTCATGAGGGGTCTGAATCCTGGGTGAATCGAATTAAATTCCAAAATAAAGTTCTTGGCGTGTACCTGTTGGCTGGTCTGGTGGCTGCTCAAGTTGTAGCTGTTGGCTGGTCTGGTGGCTGCTCAAGTTGTAGCTCTTGGCTGGTTTTGTGGCCACTCAAGTTGTAGCTTTTGGCTGGTCTGGTGGCCACTCAAGTTGTAGCTCTTGGCTGGTCTGGTGGCCACTCAAGTTGTAGCTCTTGGCTGGTCTGGTGGCCACTCAAGTTGTAGCTCTTGGCTGGTCTGGTGGCCACNAGTACTCTCTTTGTCGATAAAATTCTGCATCTAACTTATAAATAATATATTTTTAGAACGAACTACTTACATTTCTCTGCAATGATGTCAAGCCCTAATGTGTGACACCCGGTACTTACAATCTTTAAATGTTAACTGAGCAGGGAGTAGTCGGCGCAGCTGAACCAAACGTTGCCAGAACACGTCCAAGGTGTGTATAAAACCTACGCATCCACTAGTATATTGATTTGACCATACAATTTTATTATGAATCAATTTCTTTCCGCTGGTTCCAAATGGAACTGCTTGGCATTAATGGGTTAAACTGGCCATTATCAATAACTGGCTTTAGCTTGGCACGTACAATTAATGTTACCCCCAATAAATCAATACATGTAAATTTCTTAAAGTAAACCCCAAACTACACAAAGAAATGCATTGTAGTGGGGAAAAGTATCAATACTAACCAAATATGTCTGAATTGCAATTAAAATAAATTTCAATTTAGACAAATATTTTTTACTATAGACCGTAACAAAAATATCATTTTTCAGCATATTTTCTGGGATTTTTAAAGCTAGTAAATGTATGATTACTTAACTTCCTTTATGCTACATGGATAGGAAAAATGTTGAAGTTTGAGCCAATAATTTTAGTTTTGCAATATATCAATTAGTTTAGCTACTATAACATTTTTAAGCCATGATGGTGAACTGTCCAGATTTACCCCGCCTATCCCTTTTTACCCTCTTTGACTGTCATTTTTGAACCTTAACTTTTACAAAATTGCAGTTATCAAGTCAAAATTTAATCATATTGTTGTTTTGATATGATAATTGTGTTTCCCTTTGTAAATTTACATTAGAATAGTAATTGTTTGTTATTTTGTTGAAAAAGTTTTAATTAAATAAAGTTTTCCCTTTGTGTTGGCTGCTTTTTGCACCCACTTTATATCAACACTTTTCCAATTATGAAAGATTAAGGCTAATATGACAGAAATTTATCAATACTAATAGGCCATTTTATTCTCAAAGGCATATTAGAGAGCTGCAAATATTGAAAAATGCTCTGAAAAAGGAGGATGGGTTTGTTCTGCCAAACTTTTTTCCCAGTCTTGGTATTTTTCTTTATATTTACTTGTGATGGAATAATTCAGTGAAAATGCGGGATGGCTAAAATAGCATAATTTAGATTATTATTCTGATTTAGCAGTTACAGTTGTAGATCTGTGATAATATCAAGAGATGTGTAACTAAACCCTAACATCAACAATGAAGCTGGTGGTTCTACCTATCCAATGATGCATAAGTTACTTCAATAACTTAACACAGAACCACACAACATAGAGCACTACTGTCAACTGGGGTGACTTCAGCCACCTGGGTAACTTCAACCGCCAGGGTGACTTTGGCCACGTTTTTTATTTTGTTTTGCAAACAAAAGCGGGGTCATAAACAATGGCCAAAGTTACTCCGGCGTTTATGACCTTGTTTACGACCCTGGCGTTTACAACCCCGTTTTTGTTTGCAAAACAAAATAAAAAACGGGGCTGAAGTCACCCCAGTTGACGGTACTTAAGTTTTACTAACTTGAGGTCAGTGCTGCATTTGAAGGGACAATGTTACATCCACTGATGGTATTTGCTTGGTTTTACTCACAAATAAAAAATTGGGAAGGCTTCTGGCATTCCTGTGTGCTTTTTGTTCTGGTAGCACTTTGAAGCATTTAAATTATGATTTACCTTATTTAGACCATGTATGGTAGCAGTATTTTTGGTCCTTTAGCATATATATGTTGATGCTCTGAAGTCAAGTGGTCAAGACTTTCAAAAATAGCCACTGTCATCTGAAATGGAGTAAAAAAATTTCAGACTTGTTGAAATTTTTATACATGTTGAAATTTTTAGACTTGTCATGTTACCAGTACAATGTTTGGTGTTGAAGAATACTTGAAGAAACAATTCATGTCACCACCCATTCATTTTGACCTGTATTACAAGTGACCATTTTACAGAACTGAGATGTGTGATAAATATTATATACTTTTAACTGTTATGTTTTTTTAGCAATCAACAGAATGGCAAATTCCTATAGTCGAGATCAAAATGGAGTGATCAGGATGACAGAGGTAAGCTCATTATCACAGTGATGACCTATGCTTTAAAGCCTATTCATTTTATTCTGCATGCTAAACATAAGTGCTTCTAATTAACCAATAAATACTTCATGTCAATCATGAATTATAATCCATTTCCTTTGGTCAATTATTTGGATATCCTTTGGCTTCCCATTTCCTTTGGCTTCATGTGCTGGTACTATACCGGCCGGACCGTTGACCTTTAGAGGGGCTGACCCCCAACAATGCTGTTTGCTTTCTTAAACATGAAAATTCTAAATAAACTTTTTTTTTCAAGTTTATTACCAGGATTTGATTAAATTGTTTTTCAAAATTAGCTAAAATAGCCTTTAAACAATAAGGTCACAAGTCTTTATTCCACATAACAAATAGGAATTATCACTAATAAGTATTTTCTTCTAATTCTAATAATGTTTCCCATAAATATTGGCAAATTTGTTCTTTATAATCAACATGACTTTATAATCAACATTTTATAATGAACATCTTATAGGTAATCAACATGACTGCCAGCTAGTCTTCAATTTTCCTTGAGCTCTCCTTCTGCTGAGAAAAGATGACAAGTCAAATTATTTCTGAAATTATGTAGTCATTGCATAAAAATTTTACTGACAGAGCTATAATTTTTTTTTTTTGCTTCCCTCATCTTTACAATATGGGAGTTTTAAAATCTAATAAATTCATTAATACAATCATGTAAGTAATACCTATATTAGCCCTTTGCAAGTATGGCAAGGTTGGCAGATATAAGTTATTAAATTCATCAAGATATATATTCATAATCAGTAGGTAATTGTAATAATGATGAGCACAAATAAAAGGCAATGCAGTGAGTAAATATACCACCATAACAATATTGAGATATGCCATGCATGGCTTGTAATGACAGTGCAGTTGTAAGCTTATTTTATAGTGATGCATCTTCTGAAATAGAAAAGGCAAAGCGGGATTTGTGAGTCTGGTTCAGTTGCGTGCTAATCAGGTTGTTGCCTGTTGGTTGGAATTTTTACATGCTATTGGAAAAAGTTTTTTTCTGAATCCAAGGAATACCATTTTGGTTAGGAACCTTTTTAGCTATATAGCAAGGAATGTGTGTTATTGCCTTCACAACTGCCATATCCACCTTTCAAATCAAGAAGTGCCATTTCTAATTCTTAAATTTGACAATTCTTGGATGATAGTCAATATACTAATTGCATTTCTCAAATCCTCCAATGTATATAGGGTATACCATCTGTGCTGAAATTTTTGGAAAATATAATGGCTTTAAAATTGAATGCTACACTCTCTATTACTTCAAAAATCCTCTCGTTTACTGAAGAGATTCCACCTTTCTAAACATGAACATCTTGGTGAAAGGTTCCTAATTGAATTACTCTAGTAATGCTCCTATTCATGAGTATCTGAAAATACAATTCCTTCATTGGTTCCCTGTTCTCTGTCTTGCTCTTTAATTTTTTCTTTATTTTCCCCAGCCTGTTTGTAAGGTTGAGCTAGCAAATCTGGATATGATTCTCATGTCCAGAAAATGGGTTGACAAAAAAATATCATTATGGATATTCTAGCATGTTCTAATAAAATTATCAAAACAACTATTGTTTATTATATAAGTCATTTTTGAATCTATTTATTTATTCAGTTTACATCAATTTATGTCTATTACTCATCTCTGTATTTACTGACAGAAATTTTTTTTGCAAGTTAATGACAATATGAAGTGGAGGTCAAACAAATAGAAAATGTTAGTAAAATATATATGCATGTTCCCATTATTTTTGTTGAATCAGGTGGTAATAAGTTAGTGACAAAATTTCAAAATTTTTGAGGCTGGTGGTAAGGCGGCAAAATCTTTTTTGATAATCCTGCCTGTAACACAAGAATCCTGAGTTTGAATTCATTCCTCGTAATCAGCCATGAGGAAGGGCCTTTTTGAGTAGTATCATGCAATTTTCATGACTCACAACTAAAATTGAAAATATATTTGCAGGAAGAGGCCAAGGAGGTTCAAAATGTTCAGTGTCGTTCAAGGGACTTTTGGACCTACGACCTGTCTGCCAACAAAGAGGTGCTGCAGGCTGCACTGGGTGAGCTAATTTTAACAATTCAGCATCTGTACAGGTTAATTGAAGCTTTATTAGTCTTGTATAATAGCATATCTTTTTGCATTACTTGGGATTTATGAAAGCATTCTTAATAATTGACTAACCAAATGCATTGACAATGGGGGCCATCATTTGTCTGAAGTCATCTTGATACAACAATTCAAATAATGCCTTTTTCAGTAAAATTTGTATAGTAGCGATATTTTTCCTAGTTCTTTTTTTATTGAGCTAAACGCGTAAAAATTTACCGCTGGAAAACTCAACAAGGGCATAGCTTTAATGCTTGGTTTGACCACAGATGTACTGCACAACTGCACTCCTGGCAACAAATTCACGGTGGAGTACAAAGACTGCCAGAACTCGTGTCGTCTTGTCATCTTTTGCCATGTATGTTTATTATACTACACACTTTAACCTCTCGCTGCTAAATTATATGCAATTTTCAGGATGGCAGGTCTTCTCCAGGGACTGACAAAGAACCCAAGTGCTCTTTGGTAAAAGAATTTATTCAAACATTACCATAAAAAGAAACAAAAAAAAATAACCTGTCTAGTTACTCCTTTTGTTGCTAGTTTTGTTGTGCCATACATGTACTTGACACTGCCATAACATGTGTGCAAATGTTCTGCAGGATTAGCCTCACAGATTATCAGGGAAATGTGTGTGTGCGGGCATTGATGTTGAGATGTTATGAATGTGTACCACTTCAACCTCTTCATTGTATAGCACTAAATGGTGTTATTCAGAAATTGTATTTTTAAATTTGGAATAATTTTAACATTTTACCATAATATAATTCCAAGTACTGATGGGAGAATTGTTGACAAGTCATACCAGTAAAGATTCTTTCGTTCATACTTTGGAAAGCATCCAATTGCTCACGTGACTTCATTTAAAATCTCCAATTAATTATTGTTGCTAATGATTTCCATTCAATTACATTGCTGCCTGATAAGTTCTGAAATTATTGCACGCCACTAACCTGAAGTCAGTGAGCCACGTTTTATAAAGCATATATTTGACTTGTCACCCTCAGCCCTGCAACACGGAACTGTCTTCCCTGGATCCGTTTATTTCGCATGCTGCTGGCAAGAATCACAAAAAGGTAAAAGTTTATTAGTATCAACTTGTTAATTTGTTAATAGTCCATCTGAAGATAACATACCAAGATGCCCTTATTAAAAGTCGCACGTAACTACGTCACTTTGCCATGATGCCTGATTTAGCAGCAATATTCTAGAATTACAGAGAAGAATGTAGTTTTTATCAAGCAATTACTTGCCTTTTAGTAACCAAGTTGCCTACTGCAACAAATTTGCTGAACTTGTGGCAAGAAGTTCTGTTCTTCAGTCAATCTCCTAATAAGTAATCTACTTTTTCTTTCTGATTTTAAACATGAGACTTTTTTGAAGAATCCTATAAGTATAATGTTCTCTCACATGAAATAACACATTTCCATGCTATGTGTGTGTATAAATAAATACCTGTATATATGTAAGGAAGGTTGAAATGATACTACTTTGAAAACTTTCTATGGCACTATTCATCATCCATCAATAAGCAAGATTTCCATTTATGAGTTATCTCCTCGAACGTGTTTACCTATCTTCACCTGATATTCTGCACCTCTCACTCCACCTTCTGCACCTCACACTCCGACCTCTGCACCTCACACTCCGCCCGCTGCTCCTCTCACTCCGCCCTCTGCACCTCACACTCCGCCCTCTGCTCCTCGCACTCCGCCCTCTGCTCCTCTCACTCTGCCCTCTGCACCTCTCACTCTGCCCTCTGCACCTCTCACTCCGCCCTCTGCTCCTCACACTCCGCCCTCTGCTCCTCACACTCCGCCCTCTGCACCTCTCACTCCGCCCTCTGCTCCTCTCACTCCGCCCTCTGCTCCTCACACTCCGCCCTCTGCACCTCTCACTCCGCCCTCTGCTCCTCGCCCTCTGCACCTCTCACTCCGCCATCTGCACCTCTCACTCCGCCCTCTGCTCCTCACACTCCGCCCTCTGCACCTCTCACTCCGCCCTCTGCTCCTCTCACGCCGCCCTCTGCACCTCTCACTCCGCCCTCTGCACCTCTCACTCCGCCCTGCCCTCTGCACTTCTCACTCGACTCTTCACCAACAGTGCGTGGTGCAGCTGACGAACAAGCAGCAGACCGAGAGGTCGCTGAAGCAGAGCTTCGAGCTGAAGCCTTTCAACGCTCCCAAGAAGATCTTCGAGCGCGGCTCCCTGGAGGACAACCTTGACACCTGCCGCCCCCGCGTGCTGGGTAAACACCCGCCATCTTCTCTTCAAGTTCATTCATGATGAAAGTCTTTAAAATATCTTCTATATCTTAAAGACATCACTGCCGTGCAGATATTCTTTGTAAATATTGCCTGTTTATCATTGCCGTAAATATCACTTTTATTACAAGAATTACATGTTGTACAAACATTCTACTCATGCTAATGAAGAATTACTAGTTCCTCTCTCGACCTTCATGTTCACTTTGTATCATCCATGTTGCAAGCGTGACAGGCGTATTCTGCTAAACAACACATTTCCTGATATAAGTTTGTTGTTTTTCATGCCAGTAACGATTTATTTTTATGGGCTCCTCCTTATTCCCTCGTCTATTAAGCTTAAATTTTGTAAATGGTAAAAAATTGTTATAATAATATAATAATGTTAATAATACCTAATGTAGCTTATCTTGAAATGACGAGATCGTAATAGTCCTGTATTGTGCAGGTATGCAGTTATTGCAGTATTGTAAACGTAATAAAATTGTTATGTATATAATAATGAAACTCATCTTGAGATGACGAGATTGTAATTGTGCTGTTAATTGTGCAGGCATGCAGTAATAGTGCTGGTATTGTGCAGGCATGCAGTAATAGTGCTGGTATTGTGCAGGCATGCAGTAATAGTGCTTGTATTGTGCAGGCATGCAGTTCGTCTACAAGGAGAAGCTGGAGGAGGGCGGCAGCTACTACTACTCCTGCCAGCTGTGCGACCTGCGGCATGCAAGCCACGAAAAGATTTACCAACACTTAACTGGCAAAAGTCACAACAAGAAGTATCTTGTCAGTATACTTAATGTTCACTATGATCTAATTATTGATGAGTTCATGGAATATAATTCTTTAACTAACTTGTCATTAAATATCAGCTTCCTGCTGTTGGGGAAGCAAGTTATCAATTGCTCCTCTGTTGCATAGTTATTGCCCCCTTGAACAAAATGAGTGTTGATTTTCATTATAATTTCTTACAGATTTGCACATGTTTTTATTTACTCAGGAGCGTACAAAGAAGCCCAGGCTTCTTTACGAGTATTTCAGTGAAATTTCTTTCGTAAATAGGCAAAAATACTACAAAGAAAGGCCATAACGAAACATTCACACAATTAATATTGAACTGGTGTCAAGTAAACATCATAAATTAACAAAATTACAAGCAAAGAAAAAGTTAGTACGAACTAAGTTGAATTGAACATCTCATTCAAATTTCCTGCTTTCTTTGTAATGTTAATCATCAGTGTGGTCCCAGAGAGTATGCGAAGGTCTTGAACGACTGTATCTCACGTAATTTTGCTGCCATATTGTTTCCCGTGGCCGCGAAGCTGCCGCAGTCGTGCTGTCATAGCTGTATTCGTAGCCTATGAACACGTCTCATGGTCTGGCCCTAGGTTTTATGATCATACTCCGGAATTATGGCATTGTAAGGATTATATTACTCTTTACACTTTTTACACTCTTGAAACGTCATGTCTCGTGCGTTGTCTTGTGGCTAAGTTACAGCAGTAGTGTCAATACTGGCTCTTTAGTTACGTACCTTCTTGTTCAGTTGTTGGATGCATGGGCTCTTTAGTTGCCTTCTTGTTCAGTTGTTGGATGCATGGGCTCTTTAGTTACCTTCTTGTTCAGTTGTTGGGTATATGGGCTCATTACTCACCTTCCTCGTCAGTTAGATGTGTATGATATTAATGGTTCACTACTGAAGACATCAAATAATGTTCACGCTCTACCGTGCACAAGACGTGACATCGGTTGTAATGGTCAATTCTCTTAACACCGTCATTGTTACCACGTATAATTTCAGAAAATTAACAGTTAAACGTATTTAATTACCACCATCAGTAACTATATATTACTTCATCCATATTGGATTTGTAGTTGTTGTGTACTTGCAGGCAGTGAAGTTCAAGCGGCGCGTTGAATCTCCTGATGAATACGAAAAAGCCTGCAAGGAAATTGAGGAGCGCGAGGGCAAAATCAATCACACCATCATTGACTTCAGTAAGCGGATGTCTTTGTCAGGTGTATGGATGAATGTTGCTCTTATTGTTGCACTGCTATTGTCAGGTGTATGGATGAATGTTGCTCTTATTGTTGCACTGCTATTGTCAGGTGTATGGATGAATGTTGCTCTTATTGTTGCACTGCTATTGTCAGGTGTATGGATGAATGTTGCTCTTATTGTTGCACTGCTATTGTCAGGTGTATGGATGAATGTTGCTCTTATTGTTGCACTGCTATTGTCAGGTGTATGGATGAATGTTGCTCTTATTGTTGCACTGCTATTGTCAGGTGTATGGATGAATGTTGCTCTTATTGTTGCACTGCTATTGTCAGGTGTATGGATGAATGTTGCTCTTATTGTTGCACTGCTATTGTCAGGTGTATGGATG